CAACAAGCACTTCCACTGCCAGTGTTCATTCACTTCCTCTTCTTCTTTCACGTCAAACTGATAATTTGAGAAATATGCTTTATATACATTTTGAATCTTTTACTCTTATGAACAATATTCTTGTTTCATTGCTCTTGCCGTCTCAATGACAAACATTCCTAAGCGATATTCATCACTTAATGGCTTTAGATCACGGAAGATTACTCAAAAAAGTTTCGTGATTTATTCATTACTTTTCCTGATATGATACTTCTTCACACGTCTTGTTATCGAGTGATATCAGCAGATTGACCCTTATATACATTTCCAACAGTCTCTGATGAAACGATATATAACAGCTGTGCAGCTTTGAAGTGTAATTATGAAAAGAAGGTTCCCCTCACTGATCTAAGTGTCTTTTTAATTTAAATCACATAACGTGATAAACGATTATTGCATACACATACAGATAGATTTTTGATTTTTAGAATGGCTATCATCTGAACATATCGTTGGCACTTTATTTGAATGACTGTGGAGCAAAGTTTACCTATATTTATAAAAATGTGTATTTCAAGTATGATCACGAGCTGACTTCACTTACAGAACTACTGGAAGTCAGAGTATACTGCAGAGCAGTTTGGTCCTAGTTTTGGACTCTGCAGCAGTACCCACTCATGATGCCACTTATTGAGGATCAAGTCTGGAACCTTCAGGTTACGAGGCTAATCTCTTGCCTATTCAATCATTGGGATGGAATCTAATGGTGCATGAATTTTAACTTCTATCAATTCGCGACTTATAGCGTGACCGCTTGTAAACGTTATCAGAGAGTGTTTTTCCCCACGCCGTCAGTCAAAACTTCTTACTAGGACTTCGGGCAAATTCATCCTGCGATCTGTGAGGTCAATGAACTTCAAACTGTAACCTGAAGTTCGTGGGTTTGATTCCTAGCGGAGGGTCATGGTTGCAAAATGTGACTGCAGGTTCACAAAGCAGGAAGAAGCAACTGCTCAGAACTCGTTGCTGGTTTTCAATGGTTTACTAACTGATACCAGTCAGCTAGTAATTAGACTTGAAAGTAATCGAATCTCTGCGAACTAACACTTTCATATTTATATCTGAGGAAGAAGGTAACATACTTTTACCACTATTGGAACATATTTTTGAGTTAAATGGAATATGGCCCAGTAAAACTACTGATTTACAGATAGTGTACTTGGAAATGGCTTTTTTTCTAGACTTTTAGTAAAACATGCATATCCTTTGAAGATTTTGTTTTTGAATCTCAATACAAGTCAATCAAGCTACGAAGTCCCACATTTTATTTAATATTCTCCAAAACAAAGCGTATTCAGAGTAGAATACGTCAAGTAAAGCGAAAGAAGTAGTGTGATTTGCAGGCAGAGACTAAAATCTTTCTTCTATTAAAATGAAACACACTGCTTTACGAACATCACGAGATTACGTCAAATTTCATATTTGTATACTAGCTCAAATGTGCTTGTGTCTGTGTGCGTTTGAGTACATACACAGGCAGGAGTAATCAAGCTGTGTACATGAGGATAGGAAAACATGCATACAGACGGCTTGAGAAGTACTCATATTTTCAAATGCTGTTAAGTATAAGAGGGGAGGATTATCATTTAAGGACTCACTTTTGAACCAAAACTACAGCGGTCAGCTATTTCATTCTAGTTTGGAACGATGATGCCTTTTAGGAGGTCGGGTGATAACATTCTGTCGTTGTATTCTGAAGACTCTGACTTTAATCCCTAGTGAATTCGTGGGCACTCACTAGTGATGAGTCTTGTGCAAGGCCAAAATAGCTATCTAGTGCTCTGCATTTCTTAATAATTCACCAAGCGACGTGGGTTCCTGACAAAAAAATTCAACAAAGTGACTTCATTAGTGCCTTAAACACTCGTAGTCTGAAAAATGCCCTTGAAAGATTCCCACATAAGATGGTCAAGCATTTACATTGAAGTGGGCAAAGGTGATAACTGATATAAGTATAAAACTTGGGCACTGTGATGGAGTATAACTCTATTATGGATAAGATTTTATTTTGATAAATCACACAGTGTTGTACCATATAAAGTTGATATTATTATGAGCAATAGTTTGTGCTCGAAACGTCATCAGTTAATATAACTGTACAACACTGTGTGATTTATCAAAATAAAATCTTATCCATTATGGAGAAAGGTGATAACTATTAGTTAGATCAGATTCAACTGCTAACCAGATCTAAACTGAATGACACACTGATCTGGTGTACTACACTGCCTGGAACTAATGTTTCAGCAGGTCATGTTATGACAGAAAGGTCGTTCGAATAACTGATAGACTAAAAGCATTTACCATCATAGTGTAAGTCGCTAACACCATGTTGGAGGCTCTGCGGGAGATGTTAAATTGATGTCAAGTAGGGATCTAACAACAGTGAGACGTTCCCTTTTTTAATCTTTCCCCTTCTCTGAACGGAGACAGTGGTTTAGAAAAGTTAAACCCAAAAAACGATAACATACGGCCATCTATCGCAGGAATTAAGATGTCATTATGGACACAGCTCCAAAAACCAATTCATGCACGTCGTGTGTAACCGGCCTCAAGTAGGCGCACCCTTGACTCTGCAGTCACACAACACTCATATTTCCTTCTATTTCCGATAACCCGAGAAGAAATCAACCTGTTTGGTGTGGAAAAGTGGTGAAAAGAGCTCACATACTTAAATTTCTGCCTTTCTATCGTTTCATCGTAATCACTATGCGCTATGCCCCTTTACTTTATTTAAATGTATAACTAGATTAAGTCGGGTTTATTTTCCTCGGGGACTGGTTGAACGAAAGTGTCCGGCTTCCCTTGACACATCGGCTTCTAGTTTGGACGCCTGGATGAAATCTGAGGGTTAACGCTGGTGTTTTTCGGCAGACGATGACTAGCAGTGGGATCAAGCATGTGCATTTCATTCTGTTTTGGACCCACAAGCTGGATATGCCTGCATCTTTATTGTGAATGATAGTGTTTTCACCCAGACTTAAACCCTTAATATATTAATTTAAATGACAAGGTTTTATCCAATAAGTCACTTGGCTATGGTAGCCCCTTCTTATGCAACAGGGATAAGTTATTGTTCCGATTAAGTCCACTCCTTGGACGTCTTCATGTCGTCCGTAATAGTAGCCGATACGTCAACAGGAGCTGAACATTTCGGTTCAATCGGTCTTCAAGAAAAAGATAAATATTGACTTTATAAAAATAACTTATCTGTGTTGAACAAGAAGTGGGTGTTATGGCCCATTGGCCCAGTGTATGATGCCTTGGCATCTGAAGTTTTACGTGCAGGATGTTAGTCCCATCGGGAACACCATCAAACTGGAGATGCAGGTAAATTCAGCTGATAAGTCCACTTTCAGTACTCACTGCAGGGTGGAGGCAGTTAAATACGTTCGACTGACGAGTCTCAAATAAGACAAAACGTGCGCCTTGAAATCTACTGCTAGCCACTTCACCAAACAAGCATTTTGGACTTACTAATCAACTTATTTACGGGAAAATACTTTGTAATAAAATTTCTCAAAGAAAGATACAAAAATATTCATAAAAACAAGTTATCTTTCGTAATATAGGAAGAAATGTCGAGACAAAATTTAAAAAAGCAATTCGAAAATTATTTAAGACAGTAGCAGATGCAGAGAGATTGGGAGATGAAAGGAAGAGATAGAAAGATCAGAGAATTATTCGAGGAAAGCTACTGTACATAAACTGTTGCTAATTGCCAGATATGCGGCTGATGAAATTCATTCAGAATTAATCAATATTGCATTATCTATGTTGTAATCAGTTAGACTGGGGGAATTCTTAAAGGAAATTTTTTCAGTTGAGCAAGTTTTTACTGAACTGGGTATTGGACAGTTGCAGAGGATTCGTGTAAAACGTGTCCAGTGTTACACTTTTGTATTAAACCGACTGTACGACAACCCGCAAGCTTTCATTTCTTCTTCATACGGTCTCCTTCATGTTGCTATCAGACATATGTCTAACTCATGGCTTCCCATTCGATTTCCATTAGATATCCTGAGGTTAGACGTCACTTTGAGGTTGGTTTTCCCAAGTGCATATCCAGTACATCCAATCATCCTCATTTTCTGATGGGCAATTCGTTCTCGGTTGTCTGGCTGCCTGTGAGCTATCCTTGATGCCTATCCTTTCTGGATGGCAACCTGATCTTGAGTATCTAATGAGAAGGTGGAGAAGTTTTTAGTGAAAGTCTAAAGTAGCCTGTTGGAAATACACCAAGTATGTTTGGCAAAATGAAGCACTGAAAGACCTGGCATTAACGCTGAGAATTTGTGTTGATTGCTGTAATGGAGGTCTGTCTTGCTTTCTACCTCTTGGCTTTGACATTGTTATCAGTGGTGTCTGCAGTTGAAAGAGTGATACGTATGTCATTTGGTTACCTAAGTAATTTTTATTTAGAGCAAATATGATGTCCGTCAAATTTACTCAGCGTCACTATTTTCTAACCATCTGATTACGTCCTTGAAAAAAAACTGTACTTACGTGCTATTCTGAATGCGTCGGTGGCACAGTGGTTAGGACTCTCGCCGACCATACACCTGGTCCAAGGTTCGATCCCCTGCTGACGCACACTTGATATCTATGGTCGGCCTGCGAAATTTGGGCTACCAATATCCATGCTGAAAATTCCATACTTGTACCAAAAATACAGTGTGGAATCAAGCTGTAATCAAAAATAAGAATAAAAAATATACCAACAGGTGCATTTTGTGAAGAGGTGAGACCGTTGAAGATTGAAGCACCATGTTTCACATGGAGTAATAAACTATCTATTGATATAATGCAGATAGCTATCTTCCTTGAAAATTATTTGCAAGGGGAATAGTCGCATAGATTCTGGACAAAATATTTTACACAGTTTACAGAATTCCCAGTGTAGTTTATTGCATGACGTTTTCTCTTCATCTAGGATCTCCATAGTATATCATGTGATGGAGTGCTGTTCGATTTTTCTTTCACCTCTGAAAAATGATCAACAGTAATTTGAAAACCAATTAAATATGTGATTGAGGACACTTTGCGACTCAAGGACATAATTAAATGATTAAAAAAAGAATTAGAGAAACTCTTATGCGTTTCATTGGATGAAAATTCAGGTAGGCTGTCATGACAATGTTTTAATGATATACACGTATTCTTTAGGTGAAAGCTGAGTAATCTCCATTACGCCTTAATTCTTCATCGGTTTCGTTTATTTCATTTGTCTCGCTCCAAAATAAAGTTTCTTGGATTGAATCCGATTAAGAAGTCGTGGCCAATGGGGTCCCCTCCGTCTGGGAGTGAGGACGGATTCTCTCTGAGGACACTGGCTAGTGTCAGTAGCACTAAAATCACGCATTGGTAGAAGCTAGAATTCATTGGCTAGCCATTTCGTTGGCTCTCAGTAAGCGAATGGTCTACGAACTTTTCTTATGACAAAAGGACTCTGGGTTCGAACCCCAGCGACTGCATACTGATGATGAGTCCCTAACTAGGACGAAACGGCTGCCCAGTACCCCCTAGTTATCCAGTGGCTTTCTAACTGATGTCATTCCGAGGTCACTTTCGAAAATGACCCACCTTTTGCATAAAATGTGTTGGTATGTAGACAATTTTACAGATTGTTCCAAAAGGTTTCCCTCAAATACATCACATTTTTTTTATTAATGATAGCAAATAACTACCTCCACTTTCAATAATTTCAGCTTTGTGACAAATAAGGTGATAGATAGAAAACTGAAGATTTCAAATTTATAGCAATTCTACTAATTTCAATATGGATAACATCACGAACCAACACCAATGAGAAAACTATTAAAAACCATGGAGCACCGAACTGGGACTGTTTATTGAGAGAATCGTCAGAAGTTAAAATCCACAAACTACTGGATTCTGACTCACTGCTTGAACCCCCAACACACTCGTCTCACACTCTAGAGGTTTCCAGTTCTACCTTTAGCTGGACCATGGAATTTTAAGAATGCGGAGGCCTAAACGAAAAGAAAATAGGTGCCGAGTGCTCATCGATTTCCAGCATCTCCAGGTGATGTCGTAACTTCTTTGAGCTGGACTTATAATTATTATTGCTCGCTAAACTGTTAGGTAATGCATTAAACTTTTTAAAAATTTCATACAATTCCTCGTATTATTAACTATGAGTAAAGCAATAACACCAAATACACCAGGATAATGTGAGCTCATCTTTTATTATTTCGAAGATTTTTCTCCACCGGCTACAGCCTGAACAATACAGGAAATATAAATTTTATCAAAGATTCGAACAGAAATTTTTCGCTATGACAAGGAGTAACTGACAAGACCTATAAGTTAGTTGTTAAGTTATTCAGAATTAAAAGGACTGAAGGCCTATAGGATAATTAGACGAAGATGCCTGGAAATGAAAAGAATTTAGAGAACTTTTTGGTTAGATACGAAGTTTAACTAGAAAGAATATAACAGTAGAATTGGTCAAGTAACGATAGAAAATATGTTTTTGTAGAATAACAGAAAACGGGATAAGATGAGTTATTTTTAGATAAAACAATAGATTTTCTAAACAAGACAGATGACTTAATAAAACTGTACACTCTGTTATATATACTGAAGACTGTCAGTAGGGTGAGTGGTGTCCCAGTGGACCACATAGTTAACGTCGTTGTCGATAGGCACTTGACTTCGTGCAATAAATTTGCTAAAGAGATTTTGTCTGACTTGGAGCATCCGCTTTACCCTCAGCTTTCACCTTGCATATCCTCAGGCAGAAGAAAGAGTAACTTCAGAAAACTGTATGCTCGCACGTCTAAGTATAAGAATTCTATGATACCATACTTAACACGTATTTTATGTGATGAAAATAGTGTCAGGCAAGAATTAACTAACCTTTTTTCATCTAGTAGATAAACAATTTCCTCCATCCATCCTTATATACCTTCAAGTTTTACTTTTATTATTTCTATTATATTTATGGTCCTGTTACTTCTTTGTTTTTTTACTCTCAGAATTGCAAACACCAACTTATCTCCATGACGGCTGTAATCTTTGTTTTTCCCTTCACCATATCATGTGAAAAGAACATTATATTCAATATTTTTAAACATGTTAGGATTTCTATACCACATTGCCAATACTGTGTGACACAAGCCAACGGCAATTTTCACTTGTATTCTTATTATTATTACCCTAGATGTTATCATTATTATTGCTATTTCCATTTTATATGCTGCATTTTTTTTGACACTACCTCTATTGTAAATGTGGAAAATTTTCTGTGTGATTAATTTTTATTTATAATTTGAGGAAATTAGATGCAATATTGTGATTAATGCTGAAAATTCCATTCTGTATCACAAGTACTGTTTTTGGAATAAAGTAAATCATTATTATTATTATTATCACCAAGGTGGTGCAAGATTCACCACTCTTTTTCTGTGTACATAGACTTGGTTTTAATCTTTTTGTGGCTATTGCCTAAATAAAACAATAGCAAGCCAGGTTTCTTTTGCCTGTTGAACGCCTTCTGATTGTCCACAACACCACCAGTATTCAGTAGGTGGCACGCAATTGCACTGTTTGAGGCCTGTGGGCCCTTTAGTCTCAGGTTCTTTGGTATGTATTCAGAAATACGAGAAATAACCTTTCTTCTTCTAGTGTGTGCTTTGGCGCACACATGTAAACTAGTAGACACAGTTCACCTGATTCTCCAATGATTACTCATTCCTTTACACTCCCAATTATCTGACAATTTACATCATTTAAGACTTATTTAACTCTTGTTTCCTACTAATCAATCCCTGTCGTCGCGGAAGAAGTTTTTCAGATCGTTAATTTATATTTTTTATTGTCCAGGTTGTAGCTAATCGAGAAGAATCCTCAAAATAACAAAAGATAAGCTCGCTCATACTATCCTAATACATTTATCATCCTCGTTTTGTTCAGGTTCACTAAACCCTGTGTTAGATTCCTGTGAAATTATTCTGTATATTACTGTTTTGACTAAGGTGAAGAATCATCTTTTCATTCTTCATTCTTAGATAACCGATGAGATTCACTGTCCAAATGATCCTGTGCTAGAGGTTTATGATGTCTACTTCTGATGTATTAAACTAACTTACTGACTGACTGACTGAATTAAGCCTAATCGTCACACCCTTCTCTCATAACCAGTTGAATTCTACACTTTTATCGTTATCGTTAATTCACTACTGATAATAGTATTCTCTGAGGTTAGAAATGCATAGTTTGTCGATTAACTGTAAGGTGATTACTTTTGTGTTTATAGCCTTTTATGATCTAACCACTTGGGATAACCACTGGACTAACAGCATACTGTCAGTGTAAGGGGTGGTGATTGAAGATGATGAAATCTGATCGCCGGCGAGATTTAAGCCAACCCTATTGACTTTACTAGCCCGGCTGCTTTCCCACCTGAAATGCTCTTCACTGTGCAGTATATGTTTACCCCAACTTCATCATAAGTAGTATTATTACTCCAACGTCATACCAGTCAGTGCTTCTATATAGTTCACAGCCTTGGAGCATGCCTCCCCAAAAGCATTTTAAGAAGCCTAATGTCAAACTTTTATCAACAGATCCCCTTGTTCACTCAATGTTGAATATCAGGTGAAACGACTAGGAACAATAAGCAACATGGGACACTGGTACTGAGATGAAGCAGCTAGTGAAGGAAACAGAGATCTTCATGAAACATGACACAGGAAGCGCGCCTCGAGTGGAAGTCAAATGGGAAGTGACAAGCTGGGATATGTGTCCATGGCTAGCTTGAAGCACGCCATGTGAAGATCAAAAAAGCTTGTGGGAATTCATTGATCCAGTTGAAAGTAATAATCAAGTGCAGAATACAGTAGAGGTGTGCTGCTAAGACCCTAAATTCTATTTAGAAACGAAGCAGCAAATAATAATCATAACAATAATAAGTATTATTGCAGCAACACTAACACTGAATAATTCATCACACTGTAAATTATGCTTGTTGGAAAACATTGAGCTAATTAAAGCTATATATATATTTAAAGTTTGTTTGTCTTAATTCTACTCTAAATTCAATGTCCACGTGACACAATACCTGTATACCTATGGAATAAATAGTAGGCATTGAAAGAAGGCAATACACTCCACTGCTAGGATGAAGTTATTTCACTTTCTCATAGAAACTGTATTCTTAGGCATAATAAAAGTTAATTTCTAGGGGGAAACATAAAGACAAACACGGAAGTGAAATTTTTTTCTGGGTATAAAAAGACGAAAACGTTGGGGGGATTTCTTGTTTGTTTTTTTGGAGTGAAGGGGAATCGATATTTAACTAATTTACATAATCAATTATTAATAAATGCATTGGTGTAATTATTACTTCCCATTTTTTTCAAATAAATAAATAATTAGTTAATTGATTAATGTAATTTGAAATCAACTAGCTAAATACTTATTAAGAGTCAAGCTAGCGTAAAAATTAAGGCAGAAGGATATAAATAGTTAGAAGTAAAATGTTTGCACTCAGGTTAGACCACAAATGGAAATCGATCAGAGAAACACTAAGATTTAGGAAGTACTGGGTACTTGCTTCGTACTAGTTCAGGACAACACTGGGCATATCTAACCCATTACCATCTATTTACAAGGCCTGTTCATCGGGACGACTCAGCCAGTGGGACGGTATCCAGCAGATGGAGAGTGAATTCTAACCTCTGCCAGTTCACTTTCCCAGTGGAGCATAGGGCTTTAAGCTAGAGGCTTGAAGTTTCGGTAGCACTGGTACTTATTTTACCGGACTAGGTTGCTAACCTCATACCCAAACTTCCCTCTTTACTGGTCTTATCACCGGCTTAACGACGTAAAGGAGTCAGTCGGCTTGAGATCGAACCCAGGACCACATGCGCGGTTGGCTAGCATTCTACTTCTAAGCCACCGACGCCAATTTCATAGGCGAGTATTTCTCCTCACAATGGGCTTAGTGAATTCCACTTTTCTTAGCTTCTCCCAGAAACTTCAGGCAACTTCGTCATGTAGTCAATCACCAGAGAATTCCCTACCAAGCAACACTTGTAAAAATTTACTTTATCGAAATGCATTCTGAATGTTGGTAATGAACTTTTGTTAGTTG